TAGCACTAAGTCAAGAAGGCCATTGGTTAGTCATCAGTCTTAAGCGAGATGCACTTGCTCGAGGACTTTATTCTCGTCTCGCCAAATATAATCCCAAACATTTTGGTGTCACGCAATGTGTAATTTTTATGGGACACTGTCTCATGCCACACTTGAAGCAAGCTCTCTCTTATGAAAACTTTTCCCTTACAGTGAGCACCGGCAGACTTATTTCTAATACAAAATCGGATTTCCATATATTTGTGAGCAGCTATTTTGCTAAGCTAAAGAATTTACTCGTGTGGCTGACTATTGAATATAACAATAATTACTGATAGCTTCAGAGCATACTCGCATAGGATCTATGTTATAAAATCATAAATGCTAAATGAAATGAAAATTGGCAATCCTATTCATAACCTATTCATGCCGCTGAGTAGTGTTTCTTCCATCGTTGTTTATAAATAATGCTATCATAATTGGTGGGAGGCTCATATGTCTTTTTTGTCTTATTCTATTGATTAAATGTAATTAATCAATGCATTTAATTATACACTAAACCGTCATTCATGTATAAATTTGATGACACAAAATAATCTAATTTAAATTATAAATTTAAATATTCTTCCTGATGGGATGATGGCATATGTTGATTTTTTTCATATTCCATTGATTACTGTCGTCTTTTCGAACTATGCTTTGTAGAGACTTGCGTTAATCAATCTAGCTCTTATAAAATTCTCTTAAACTCTTAAACCATTACATCTTGCTAACGAAAATTAAACTATACTAATTATAGAAGTTGTTTGACCTTGTTTTCCCAACCTGGTCATATTGGAAGGAAGACCTAGAGGAACGCACATAGTCCGGAATCCAAAGTATGCATGATTATTTCCAGAGTCGGACCGTGGATTTGGTACATTCCCAGATATTTCACCGACATCGTCAGTTAGCCTTTCCAGTCCTAGTACCACACTACAACTCGTCAAAGAGACAAGTGAAGCCGATCCTTTGACTAATTGCCTGCTAAACAATTGTGGTATCTCTCCTTTCCTGGGTTATTCACCTACCCTATATTATTGCATCACGCCTTCGCTATCACAATATTTTCCTTGCTTATTTAAATGTAGTGTGGTGTGCCCTTTGGTGGCTTTCATGAGAACCCTCTACACTCCCCGCTGGCGTTCTCACCCCCCTTCACCCTTTTACTGAGAATGTTGATCAGAGTCTGCCCTATTGTTACGCAGCCCTCCTTCCATAGGTCTTATCAGAGTCTCTCTCTTGACCCGTATGATCCGTCTGCTATCTCCCTGGTTCAAGTATTTCACTTAACCCATGCCATCCAATCTGCGCTACTCGGGGCGTTATTCCCCACACTGCGTCTGGGAGACTAACTCTAGGCTAAAGCCTTTGAGTAATTCTCATTGTCAAGCCTTTGCTTCATGGACCACGTCTATGGTAAAATAGGCTTACGGTCAGCCAACTAGCTCTAGTCTCCTCCGCCTCTATCTTATCTCTCTTGGGAAAGCAAGGCTATGTGAAATTCAATGGAAACTTCAGCTATAGTCATATCATTATAGGAAAATTCGACTACTGGTCCTATATCTAATAGAAATAATAATGTTAATGGAAACTTTGTTATAAATGAATTTGATGTTTTTATTATGACTAGTTTTGAATAATTTATCATTATTACTCTTAACTTGATATTTTTATACCTTCTCTTACCATTTTTTATTTACCATAGATAGTCGCATGCATACTTCTCCACGTGCTGCGTTGGCCTTCACCTCCCGAATATAAGCCAGGTTGTTGAATTTTGATCAGCTTTTTTATCAGACTCTTTCCACACTCCTCACTTTTCTTCAATTATCTTTGGCTTCAGTTTGTATTTTCACCGGCCACATGTTGCGTCCAGTCCTGCTAGCCACATTTCTTTTCTTTCCTTCAATATATCTTCCACCATGCTCTCTTTTGTCATATATATTATCTTCCTCTTCTCCGTCCTTGGCTATGGCTCTTGCCTCTGGCGACGAGCAATCACAGTATTCGCTCGTGAAGCAAGGATCCCTCTGCAACAGTAATACCCCGAAGCATCCCGATTTCTGCCCCCATAACACTCCTTTACAGGCCCAATCAGAAGCTGTTGGTTATTCTCAAAATACAAATGGGGCCACCTGCCTTGATGCGTTTAATTTTCCACAGGTCGAGGCCTCTTGCTTACAGTCTACTGGGGTGATTGACCAAGAAAATCAATGTATGTCTAATCAATCTACTGAGAAACCATCCTGGCATTTGCAGTGGTAAGTCTTGGCCTGGTATGTACACAAACTAGT